GCTTGAAAAAATTGTATCGCTCATCATACAATATACTGTATTGTACGATTGTACGATTATACATAGTAATATAGTACCGTACCATACCGTACAGTACCAATAAATTAATTGTACCGTACATAATCTCTGTATCCCGTTATATAAGATATTTACAGTACTGATATTTATAAACTGGTTTTAGTTGATAGAACTTTATTTAATTTACGGTAACGGTAACGTTACACCTGACCGATAATAAGGCAACACAAATTGATATATATGGGCAATCTCATCTCAATAAAACTTTTCAAATTATCAATAATTAGAAACGGTAAAACTGGATGGTAAGACCACCCGCGTATACAATCTCATTTTATTTTTCAAAATGTACACTATTTAAATTTTATAACATAATATACGTTTATATGTATTCTGGTCACTAGTATATATTGGGTAATTATATTTTTGATACTTTTGAAAACAAACTACAATCAACTCTTAATATAATGAACCTATTTTATTAAATTGGATATAAAACATAGTAAAATACTACATAACAAACTTTTAAAAATTTTCACTATAAGAACTGTTGGTTAATTATAAAGAGAGTTGACTGTAATAATTATTTTTATATATCTAATATATCAGATAGCGTCTTTGCTAATAAAATGACCCTTTGGGACTATGTAAATTTTATAGCTAGATCTTAATTTTCCTAGCCATTTAATAATTTAATTTGGGTAAACCCTTTTTTTATTTTTTAGTGCCTATTGAGCTCTATAATGTTTATTTGAATTGGGTTGTTTGATGGGTAGAAAAATTAAGATATTGTTATAAAAATTTACATAGTCCCAAAGGTCATTTTATTAGCAAAGACCTCAGATAATGTGTTAACTTTAATAGGAAGAAATCAAATCATTCTATAACGTTTAAAAATATAGTTTTCGAGCTTAAATCGGTTAATTAAATGTCAAGGAAGCAAGCAACTGTTATTGGGGCTGGAATTTCGGGACTAACGACCGCTGTCTTGCTGCAAGAGGAATGTGATGTTGAAATCGTATCAAAAAATTTTCCAGGAGAATTAAGAGGCGAATATGCTAGTCCATGGTTTGTAAATAAAAATTGCTATTCATAAATTGCATTGCTGCTTATAACGCTAGAAAAATAATAGGGCTGGTGCACATTGGAGGAGCGATGCGAAGTCTGGAGACATTCGGCAACAAGGTATCTGACATCAAAACCAGTTCTTAAAGTATATTCATAGCCAAATTTGTTAATTCAATCATTCTTCTATAAGATTTTGATAGAAAAACCTTTATCCACTTTTGGGATCTGGCCTATACCAAATCACATGAAACTGGAATAATGATTGTAGACGGTTTTGACTATTGGGATGAACATCCTCCATTAGGATGGGAAGAACCATGGTTCAAAGATTTATGTCCAGAAGTAATAATAAAATTTTAAATGTTAATTGTGTGATCGCAAGTTAGGTTTTTAATGAAGCACCATTTTCATTCCAATCACTAGTACCGGCATTTAACAAAGGAAGAATTACCAACTGGCGTTGAATTTGGAACTACATATAAGACGGGTGACACATATTCAGTCATAAAAGAATTGGTTTAAATAATTACTAAGAATTTAATTAAATTTAAATCTCTTTTTAAATTTAAAGTCACAATTAATCCACCTAAACATCTTTCCTACCTTGTAAAACGCTTTTACTCGCTTGGTGGAATCACAAAACGTACCTCTTTGTCTAATATCCAAGAGGCGATTTTTGATCATACTGATATTGTGGTAAATTGTTCGGGACTTGGTTCGAGAACTTTAAGAGGTGTCCAAGATCATGATGTCTATCCGGCAAGCGGGCAAACAGTATTGGTGCAATTACCCATTGGGCATGTAAATTGGACATTTGGACGATATGCGGCCGGAAGGTCAGATGGTGACACTCACAGTGCGTATCATTGTAGAGTCGAGAGTTTATTATTTTTATTTGGTTTCTAATATCATTTTAAATTGGTAAAAGGAAAAAATGAAATATTAACTTGTGTAATACCGCGGGATAATGGGGAGGTGATACTTGGCGGAACATATGTTGGTCATATTTTCAATATCATTTTCATTCGAAATTAATTATATAAACTGATGCAAATTTTACTTATTATTAATGTAATATAGCATCAACATAACTAGTAAGAGTTAATGCAATTATTCTTAAAATTACGATGTTTGCTTCGACTTGAAATTTAAAAATTTTCTTATTTTAGTTCGACTACACCTGATGCAAAAATCGCAGATGCAATCATCGCACGATGTCTTTCTACACGTCCAGACCTATTACCCAAAGGTGAAACTAAGCTTAAGGTCAAAAGGTATGGTGTTGGATTACGGCCTGTTCGAAAAAATGGGATAAGAATCGAAGCTGAATGGACACGTGAGCAACTTTTATTTTCTTAATTTACTTCAAGCATATATCTAATTTTTTATATGTATTCTTTTTACTGTTAGTATCTAAAAAAACGGGAAAAAAAATTTTAATCTGTCACAATTATGGCCATGGAGGATATGGTACGGTAATAATTCTACATCTGTCATTATCGCGAATTTTATAGATTAATTATTTGTATATTAGGATGGCAATCAAGTTATGGTGCATCAATGTATGCAATTCAAACTTTGAAACAAGCTCATAAAGAAGCCAATCAAACCCCTGTAGCAAAGATCTGATATTAAATTAGTGCTTAACGCTAATTTATCCGAGCAACACAAATAAGTATTTGACTCTAGTTACTATTTAAATTTCTGAATCATTATATAACCGCTAAAATTTGAAAACAGCAATCCAGCGAGATAATAAGATAAAGATGACTAAACTATGATTCAATGTTAGCAACTAGTTAAACCTTAGATCCGGTATTATAATATAGCATAGTATTTAGTTTTATTACAATGTTTTACCGTAAAAATTTGCAGTATGTTTGAAGCTATATAAATTTTAATGCTTTGAATACAATATATAAATGTTTAAAAAAAGAAATATACATATTTAAGAAAGATTTTTACCTTTTATTATAAACTTGATGATAAATTTTAAATGCTTATAATAATTTAATTCTTATGTTTTAATATTAAAATTTTTAAT